AGTATAATGCAAGGTATAAAACTTTAATCCACTATAAGCAAAATTGAATTAATTCAAAATTGGTATATCTACCAGATCTTGGTCCCAAGCTACCACTTATACCACTTATTTCATTCAATGTCTTCGGCGTCTTTGACTTCTACTGATACCGGTTTTCTCTTACGGTGTCGATTTCTGTTCTTGTCGCCGTGGCTCCCGTTCCTGTCCGTGACGTTGTTTTAACACCTCCATATCTTCATTCGTACGTATCGTAAAGAAATCTCTTCCAATTTGCAGTGTTATTCTACCATCCACTGTCCATACTTCTTTATCGCCAAATACTTTTCGTGCTTGTTTGTATAATTCCAATCTACTCGCCGATAACGATTCCGTAATTAAGTACTTCTTACCTCTCAAATTCTTCTTTCTAGACCACACCATTTTCCTTGTTTTGTACGATATAAATTTTACGATAACAGCTCTATTTTTGTCGCTATTCTTCTTCACTCGACCCAATCGGTGGCACCGGTCGATATGGTCACCATTAACAGATATTGGATATTGGAATGAAAATCCCCATCTGACTGTAGAAGGTCGAGGATACACAATATCCTGAAAAAGTTAACGTATGGGCCGGCATTTTGGGAGACCAAGTGATTGGCCCAGTGTTTATCGATGGAAGTTTAAACGGCGAAGTGTACAGGGTGTCCAAATTTCGATGGGTTTGCAGGGTATCTCAGTTATTATGAAAGATAGAAAGTTGCCGCTTTCGCGAACCTGAGCTACTTTTTTGTGAAACTTACAATGGCGCAAACCAAATTTTCATAACCCTCTTCGTTTTTGAAATACAGGAGTGTTTCAAAATTTACGATTTTCAGACACCTCCTGTATCTCGGCTATCCGGAAACTTAGAAAAAATGTAAAAACGCGTTCTAATAGATTTTTCACGTGGAATCCAATGGTGCACGTAGAATTTTTCTAGTCATCACGGTTTTTGAGTTATAAACACAACTCAAATACTGAATACTCAACTTTTAAAATACTTAACTCTTTATAACTCAAAAACCGGGATGACTAGAAAGATTCTACGTGCACCATTGGATTCTACGTGAAAAAATCTATTAGAACCCGTTTTTATGTTTCCGGATAGCCAACATCCAGGAGGTGTCTGAAAATCGTAAATTTTGAAACACGAAATAAATCGATGAAACACGAAAATATCGATGACACCATAACTCGCTTAAAAATGGCAGAAGAAATTTAAAATCTACACCAAACTATTGCAAAAAATTTAAATCTTTAGACCCGCTTCAGGGATTTTTCCATAAACCGTTTATAATGATTTTATCACCTATATCGGTTACTTTACGCTTTACGGACAGCCTGTATAACACTTAATTCATTTTAAAGTTTCCACCGAGTCACCATCAAAACTGCATCTAATGAGTCTTCTATAAGTTTCTTATATTATGTATAGTTGCACCAAGTTGCACATACTTACCAATCTTCACAAGGAATGTGTATGTAAAATCTTCCGGAAGTTCCACTAATTTCACATCATGAATGTTTTATTTTGGCAAACATAATTAAAATAAAAATAATCGTTCTTTCTTTCTATATCGCGTAAATCAGGTCTCGAGACGCTATCGAGTTCCGACTCGTTTAGTAGATGACCGTTAAATTTTAGCTTGTATCACACCACATGATGATCACGTGGTACCGACGAGTAATCCCGAGCAAAATAGTGCGATGCCTACGAAGTACCTGAAGGAAAAGTACAGTTTACACGTCTTGTGTAAAATTTAATGTTTTATATATTACATAACTTCACTAACATAAGTAAAAAAGAACTCTCCTTTAGAGAACTGTAAAAACTACTCTAT